ATAAAGTGGCAGGCGAGCAAATTATCTGTATGTGAGGGAAGGCAGAACCACACACAGAAGGATATAGACTTATTGCCACTTCCTGAGAATGTTGTACACACATACTGGAACCCTGAACTTAACCAACCTTGGCCAGTTTGCCTCCCCTAGACTGGAGGAGGCAGTAATTGTATGGTCCATCAGCCAAGACTGAGTGGCTGTGGTTTCCGACGTCCCGATATAGTCAGTTGATGCCATCACTGACTATTGGGGGCGAATCATTGGCCCCCACGGAGAGGGCTCGCAACTTGGGCGTCCTCCTGGATTCACGGCTGTCTTTAGAAGAGCACTTGACGGCCGTGACCGGGAGGATTTTTCATCAGGTTCGCCTGATTCGCTAGTTGCGTCCCTTTCTGGATCGGGACTCTTTACGCACGGTCACTCATGCCCTTGTCACCTCCCGCCTGGACTATTGCAACGCTCTCTACATGGGGCTCCCCTTGAGGAGCACCCGGAGGCTCCAACTGGCGCAGAGTGCAGCCGCGTGGGTGGTAATGGGAGCGACATGGCGTTCCCATGTAACACCTCTCCTGTGCGAGCTGCACTGGCTCCCGGTGGTCTTCCGGGTGCGCTTCAAGGTTTTGGTTACCACCTTTAAAGCGCTCCATGGCTTAGGACCCGGGTACTTGCGGGACCGCCTACTACCATCAATAGCCTCCCACCGGCCGGTACGCTCCCATAGAGAGGGGCTCCTCCGGGTGCCGTCAGCCAAACAATGCCGACTGGCAGCCCCCAGGGGGAGAGCCTTCTCTGTGGGGGCACCTACTATCTGGAACGAGCTCCCCCCCAGAGATACGGAGGATCCCGGATCTGCGCACCTTCCGCCGCGCCTTAAAGACCTTACTATTTCACCAGGCCGGCCTGGCCTAATTTTCCCCCTCTTTTATAAAAGATTTTTAAAATTTTAAACATCTTTTAGTATTTATATATTCAATTTTAAATTGGTTTTAAAAGTCTGGGGTTTTAAATTTGTCGGGGCCAAAATTATTTAATTTGATTTTATTCTATTTTTTAAATTTTGTATTGTATGTGTTTTTATTGTTTGGCTGTGCACCGCCCTGAGTCCTTCGGGAGTAGGGCGGTATAGAAATCTAATAAATAAATAAATAAATAAATAAATAAATAAATAAATAAATAAATAAATTTCCTGCATGCATTTAAAATTTGCGAAAGTTAGAATATTTTGGACATGTGATGTGACACCCAGAAAAATATGGCATCCTTCACTTAATCCTCCAGGGAAAGATTGAAGGCAAATGAGGTCAAGGCAGAAGAAGAACATCATGGCTTCAAAACCTAAAGGACTGGTTTGGACAAAACTCAGCAGCCCTTTTTCATGCGGCTGTTGACAAAAATAGGATAGCCAACATGATTGCCAATGTCCGATGATGATTTAAAATTTGTTCCTGGAACCCTTTAGAGGCCTCATGCATGGATCTATACTAGAAGTTTTAAATTAGTTATGGTTCACATTCAAAAACTGGCTGTTAATTTTGGGGACATTAAGGACATTCTTCCTTAATGTCCCCAAGGCACATGGTTTCTTCCTGAAGACTTGCTGATGCTGGTAAGCCCCTTCTTGTCCCATGATTGATCAACAATGTCAAAACTGGAGGGTTACAAGAGTGGCAATTTTGCTATGGCCCTGACCCAAGGCAACACTCATGGTTCCTGAGAAGTATGTGTCATTGCCATAAATCTGAAAGATAATTTATTGGAAAGGACTTCTGATTTGTTCATTTTTTAGCTCCTGGGATCCTGTCACAATAGTATAGGAATGTAATTAGGTAATGGAGTCCACATGCAGCAGTGCCAACAGATCAGCATTTGAAGTTTGAAAGACAATAGGGAGGAATCCTTGGGAAAGTCAATAGTTCATTCTTTTTTTAAAATGAAATGGAGGAGTGGATGGGTGAGCTAATCAGAGATAAAGAGATAAAACACTATCATGGATGGCAAATAAGTACTGATTGACTGGCAGTTCTCCAGGCATAACCTCTAGCTAGAAAAAGCAGACACTAATTGACCGGTGGTTCTCTGCGAGTTTCAAATTCAAACAGATAAATGCTTGCAGTCTCCAAATTGTTGTATTTTCCTACCTAGAGAAAAGACATTTGAGTCAGGAATAGGGTTTTTTTTTTACTACTGGCTTTGCTGAAACTTTAGAAGTCTGTGAGGATTACAATTTACAGAAGCAGATGAAGATAAGTAAGCAACAATACAGGATTTTTTGGGTGTGAATTCAATCAGTAACAATAATAACCCAATATACTGCCCTGTTATCAGTCAAAATAATCCAATCCCATGTTTTAAAATGTATTTAGAGGGCAGAGAGAAAGAAAGTCTGCTCATTTAGAAAAGTTCCCACATTCATTGTTTTATTGTCCCAACTGATATTCTGAACTCTCAAAAAATAATTAAGACCGACATAAAAATTTAGCAACAGCAAAATATTCTTCACTAAGAAACCCAAAGACCATAAAGTTTAAATAATTGTTTTGCCTGTCTCTTAGAATAAAGCACTTAATTTTTGGCACAGGTGGTTCTGAAAGAAGAAAACCATCTTCTCTTTCCAGTCATATATGCACAATGTTCAAATGATGTAGTCCTCTTTTCAAAATGACCATTTGCCTCATAACTGGTAGCAATGGATACTCTCCTTCTATTTTTCCTCATTATGACAATTTTCCAAGAAGAAATACTTGTTTCTTTGTTTGCTTACTTACAGATGATCTTATGTGTCATAACTCTGAGTAGTTTACACAAACAGCAGTAAAAACATAAAACAATAAAAAACAGCATCCCAAAAAACAACTCCTAAGAGCCTCAAAGAATACACCCAAATACAGCAGTACCTTGGTACTTGTAGTTCTAGGAGGTGCAACAAGTACTAAAAACAAATACCAAACAAACCATGTGACTTACCACATGACCCTTTTTTCCGACTGGGAAAGACTTCCTGTCTGTCCTTTTTCCTCTGTCAATGACTTTCTCAGCATGGCTGAATTGCTATCTTCCCTCTGCAGCGATCTCATTCTTTCTTTTGCAGTGACCGTTCCAGGATGCTGACTTCCTGTCCATTCTCTACGGCTGTCCCTCTTTTCCTATTGCAGTGTGTTGACTACCAAACAATCAACGAGTATCAGGACAATATTTTCACATCAAAATGCATCAAATACCAAATTTGACGAGTTTTGAAGCAGTTGAGTACTGAGGGACCAGTATACCTAACTAATTACAATCACAGAGCTCCAGTTTGATCCACTCCCAGTGCTGGGGGGGAAAGCCAGCTTTATAAAAACATCGGGAAGACTGAAAGATGGAGGATGAAATGTATAAATCCGTGATGGCGAACCTATGGAACGCGTGCCACAGGTGGCACATGTAGCCATATCGGTGGGCATGCGAGCTCAGCTCCGGCCTTCTGGGCCCACTGGAAGTAGGGAAACAGGCTGTTTCCTGCCTCTGGAGAGCCTCAGGATGTGGTGGGGAAGGCCCGTTTTTCTCTCTCCCCAGCCTCCAGAGCTTTTCTAGGAGCTTGGGGAGGGTGAAAACGGCCTTCCACACACCCCGGAGGCCGGAAAAGGCCCATTTGGCAACTTCTGGTGGGACCGCAAGGCCTGTTTTTTGCTCTCCCCAGCCTCCAGAGCCTTTCTAGGAGCTTGGGGAGGGTGAAAATGGCCTTTCCCACCCCACTGGAGGCCCTCTGGAGGCCAGAAATGGCCCATTTGCCAGTGAGAAACCTGGGCTTTTAATACAGTCAGACTATAGAATTACTTCTTCTTTGATATGGAAATTATGTTATCAATCCATCACTGAGTTAACCAGTTTAGAATCCACTGAGGCTTTCCAAATGTCTTAGGGAGCTACAGTGAAATAGTGTTATGATCCTAATGAAAATCCAAATGTTGGCTTAACAGGTATTTTGACCTATTAGGGTGATAATGTTCTTTAAAAAATTCATATTGTAAAATTATATATATTAAGCCCTCACCACAAGAATCATTTTTCTGGAATCTAACATAATCATCTGGAAAGGACATGTTATTTCAATCAGTATAATAGGTCCTTTTAAATCTGAGAATCCTATTTTGCTTTTGCTTTTTAGAGGGAAACCAACCAGCAGCTTGAGTCCGAGTGGTTATGGGAAGACCAAATCAAAGAATGTGTGCAACCTACACTTCTTTAAAACAAAAAAATGCAGGGTTCCAAGCCCTTCTGTTTTCCTGTCAAAAAATAAATAACATTGGTACACCAAGAGTAGTATCTATTCTGTGATGTTGAAGGGAACCTTCAAAATCAGAAATGATTGGCATGGTGTACCAAAATGAAAAGGGTCTTTTAAATACCTGAAGCATACCATATAATCTAATAATGCTAATGTTTTATTTGGGAAATGGGTGAACAACTCAATTCAGATCATTATCCTTTGCTTCCTAATTTAGTAAAAAAAGGATTCTGGCCAAAATAGGAATTTAGTATTTTTCCTTGGCATTCACTCATATCTAAGTGTGATAGAACCTTATTTTCTCTCAAAATAATAAACTTATGAAATATGTATCTCCAATAGAGGTCTAAGTAATACAGGGAACTTCCATGGATGAAAGTAAACTAGAACATAGGTCTCCTATTCCTAGTCCAGCAACATAACTACTACATTTTACTATTACTCAATTTTAATTCATGTGTAGGATGCCAAACTGTAGAAAGTTTGGTATTATAATACAGGTCTCTGTAAGTGCACTGTTGTCACTGAGTCAGGAGTTTTCTTATGAGCACAATACATATCCCTTTGGCTAACCTGAATGCTCCACTGGCTTGAACCTCCATATTTTGGGCAATCAGGCAGAATGTAATAGGATAGATGTCATGTTGCTAGTTTGGTTATTCTGGTTAGGCCCATATATAAGAGACTTGTAGACTTTCTTGTAATAGTAATATTTATTTCTTTTCTTCCTCAGGAACACAATTAGAGAAGCTTTGATCTGGGAGGAGCGAGAACTTATATACAGAGGAGGCGGGGCTAATGGTAAGTAGTAACCAATGGTAAGTGACACAATGACATCACACAATGACATATACACAAGCACACATATTTACAGATATCAGGTTAGGTATTTTCATCTGTAACAAATCCCCCTCTAAAATACCTAACTAATGGTGAGTTATTAAGATTATATATGTACATTAAGTTTGGAAGTCAAATACATATGTTGTTTGATTGGCAATGGCTTAGTGAGGATATCAGCAATTTGTTCATTGGTATCGCAATGGACAGCTTTAATAAATCCTATACTTGACAGTTGCCTCACATGTTTATATTTGATATCGATATGTCGAGATCGTTGACCTATTGCTTCGGAAGCTGATATATCAATTGCTGCCTTATTGTCCTCATTGATAATAATTGGATAAACAGGTTCATCCCACACATTGGATAACAAATCATCGAACCAAGTTAGATTGTTGACCGCTTTGGATAAGCAAACATATTCGGCTTCTGCTGTAGAAGTGGCAATTAAATTCTGTTTGCCTGTGTACCAGTGCACCGCACAGCCATTTATAAGAAAAACATATCCAGAAGTGCTTTTTCTGGTTTTTGAATCAGTAGCCCAATCAGCATCAGCGTAGCAGGTCAAAGTTGGTTTTTCAGAAATGAATGGTTCTAAGAATAAGCACATATCAATGCTAGATTTTAGATATTTTAGAATCCTTTTAATTCCCTCCCAGTGGTATGAGTTAGGATTGCTTACATGTCTTGACAACAAATTTACGGCAAGGGTGATATCAGGCCTGGTCCAATTAGATATGTATAATAAGGACCCAATAATTGATCGATATAAAGTGTTATCCTTGAATGGTTCGTACTCATTATACACATTCCTATAAAAATCAGTTGACATAGGAGTATCACAAATTTTTGAGTTAATTAAGTTACATTTTTGTATGAGTTCCATAATCTTGTCTTTCTGAGATAATTTGAATCCCTTATCTGTTTTGTCAATTTGGACTCCTAGATACTTATTTACCTTTCCTAATATTTTTAAGTTGAAATTTTTGCCTAGTTGTTCAGCGAAATTATCACATTTAATTTTGTCATGTCCAAAATACAATATATCATCAACATAAATCAAAACATATTCAATAGAATCATTATTTTTTTTCGTGAAAAAGCAAAAATCAGATGAAGTAGCCACAAAGCCTATATTTTTAAGTATCTTTGATAAGCACTCATACCACCGCTTACCGGACTGTTTTAGTCCATAAAGGCTCTTATTTAATAGCCAAATTTCTCCCTTTTTTGTATCCTTTCCTGGGGTGCTTTCACATAAATTTCTTTATCTAGATCAGCGTGCAGATAGGCTGTCTGCACGTCAAATTGATATACTTCCAGATTTAAGATAGAAGCTAACACTAGTGCTGTTTTCACACACTTTCTGATCTAACGGTTGGGGAGTAAGTGTCTTCATAGTCATCCGGAAATCTTTGGGCAAAGCCTTGAGCCACTAACCTTGGTAGTATTGTATTTACCTTCCTCTAGCTCTCTTGATTTTATAGATCCACCTAGTGCCAATAGGGGATTTCTCAGTGGGCAGGTCTGTTGGTGTATATACATTTAGTTCTCTCAAACTGTCCATCTCTTTTTTCATTGCTTCCTCCCACTTACTTTTTTCTTCTAGGGGTAGCTTAAGTATGTCGTCATATGTGTTAGGAGTCAGGTGTTTAGCTTGGATAGACAGTACGTAATCATCTAATCTTTTAGGGATTATGCCCCTATTGGATCTAATGGGCCTATTCTGGGGATGTTCATCGCTATGCATATACTTAGCTTCTTTTTCGGTTAATTGATCTACCTTCAAAGTGGGGTGTCCTTTTTTCCATTCATCATTAACTATTACTGGGCATTTGATTCTGTTTGTAGACGTGGATTTGGGGTTCGTATCTGATGTGTGATGTTTTGCGTGCGTGTGTGTAATATTTTTTGATTCTGGGTAAATTTCATTGAGATGTAATTTTGACCAGTTCATGTGTTCATGAAACACGGCAGATCTGGATACAATGAAGTGGTTATTTTTATCAATGAAGCGATATCCCTTGGTTCCTGATTCGTACCCCATAAATATCAGTCTTTTGGATACTTTCTCTCCTTTGCGTCTTAACTGTGAGGGCACATATACATCAGCAGATACACCAAATACGTGCAAATGCCCAATTTTTGGTTTCCTTCCATACATGAGTTCGTATGGGGTCTTGTTGATTGTACTGGACCATAAGCGATTTATAGTGTAATTGGAATAAGTAAGGGCTTCAGCCCAGAATGACTGGTTTAAGCCAGCATCATCTAACACACATTTAACCATGGTTTGTAGCAAACCATTTTTCCTTTCAGAAACTCCATTTTGGAATGGGGAAAATGGACAAGATTTAAAGTGCAATATTCCTTGTGATTTTAGCCAAGTTGAAAATTCGTTGGATAGGAATTCCGACCCCCTGTCAGTCATTATTTGTTTAATTTTGGTATTGTGTTGCGTTTCTACCATCTTAAAGAACTCCTTAAATTTTTTGAAAACCTCACTTTTGTGATTAAGGGTGTATACAAAACCAAATCTACTATAGTCATCGACTATGGTCAGGAAGTATCTTTTTTTATATTTAATTGAAGGTTTTAATGGGCCTACTACATCCATATGAATTAGTTGAAAGGTTGATTGTGTGGTGCGAGTGGCTTTTTTGGGTTTTGGTTTGTTTTTAATTTTGGATGAATTGCACACAGAGCATTCTAAGTAATTTTTACAGTTCTTTATTTTTAAATCTTCGGAACACTCTAACATTTTTCGTATGACTGGAAAGCTCGCGTGTCCTAGCTTTCTGTGGAGTAAGTGACTACAATTATCGTGAATAGGTTTTCCATTGTTTAAATTTTCAGACATATTAGTATCAGTGGTTGATGCATTCTTATTATTACTTTCATCATGGCTATCTGAATTTGGCTTTTCGTTTCTTAATTGATAGTTTGCATAGACTAGTTCGTTATCTTGTGGCAGTAGGTATGTTAGTCCATCATTTGTAAATAGTTTACCTATGTTTCTGTTGTTCTTAGTCATAAATACCTTTCCACCTCTGAAAATGGTTTCTATTGCATTCTCTATGCTTAATTTTAGGGTTGCCAATATGTTATTTGGAATTTCGGGCACAAATAGTACCCCCTCTATTTTTCCTATACCCTTTATATGCGTGTCTCCTATTCCTCTCACTAGGACTTTATTTTGGTTTGCTACTTTAATATAATATTTCTTTTCAGTGAAGTTGCTTAATATTTCTCTATTGTGAGTTGTATGGCATGTGGCTCCTGAATCTATGAGCCAGGTGTTGAGTGAATCAGACATCAAAGTGTTATTGTTTCTTATTCCATATAGTGACCCTTTCTTATTTTCTTTAGGGTTATTTCTGTATGTTTGTCTTTCTCTAGAGTGTGGTGATTCTCTTCTCTTATACCTATAATCTGGGGAAGTTCTGTCTAAAAAGTGTATTCTCCTATCCTTGTGTTTATATGAGTCACTGTATCCTATATTCTTGGGGCAGTCTCTACTCTGATGTCTTTCAGATCCACATGTGAGACATTCATGTGGGTATCTGTCTCTGGCCCTGAAATCAGTCCTTCTTTGATTTCTACCTTCTCTTTGTAGTGTATATCGCTCTCTTCTAAGTCTATCTTCAGTAATAAGCTTATTGGTAAGATTTTCTAAAGTAATTTGCTCTATACTTAGGTTATCTATCAAGGTAATGTAGTTATCCCAGCTGTGATCTAATGAGTTAATTATAATGCTTTTCATGGTGTTGTCAGAAATGGTTTCTCCCCTTTGAATAAGGTCTGCTCTTACAGCGTTTAGATTCAAGATATGTTCACTCATGGATGTATCATGTTTTAGTTTGGCAGAATAGAATTCCCTAGAGATTTTTGTGGTGGTGGCTACATTTTTGCTATAGAACAGTCTGAATAATTTTTGATATACTTCAAATACAGTTAAATTATGCTCTATACTGGGGAGTATACTTTGAGAAATAGAAACAATTAATATATAATATGCTTTGTGATGGAGGCAGTCTATTTCATGGGTCCAAGGCTTATTTGGTGGGTTATCAATAAAAAATAAAACATTTTCTTTCAAATATACAATCTGTAAACACTGATCCCATTCCATTAAGTTGCTTCCATCTAATTTCAATTTTATAAAGTCTGGAGGTATTGTCCCTGAGTGTAGTGAGGTGTTATTCATGTTTAGTAGTTGTCCATGGTTTAAGACCTTAGCATACTCGCAATAAGGTCTGGGGATGGTAGATGTATGTCTGTATTTACTTATCTCTATGTTGTCTTGACTTGTATCTATGTTTCCTTTTTCCTTTTCTGCAGGCTCGTTCTGGGCATGCTCAGTCTTCATTTTCTTCCAGCAGTCGGCGAGGGAGGTTCCTTTGTTTGCAGCTCCCGGGGTGATGTCCCAGATGGCCTTCTGTTGTTCTGTTTTGTTTCCAGAGGGCCTCTGGTGGCTGGAAAATGCCTGGGACGCTGCTCTGCTCGTCGTGGAGTCTCTGGAGTCGCGAGGATCGGGGGAGAAGACACTGGAGGCTTGTCGGCCATTTTCTCTGCCACTATTGCCGGTGGAGCTGGGTTGCTCTGCGAGTCGCTCTTCGGTAGGTGAGTATGATTGCCAGCGCGTCTTTCTTCGGGTGGCTAGGTCTTTGTTTAGATAGTCTGTTTCTTTTTGGCTTTTTGCTGATGGTAGTTTAGAATTTTCTGTTTTATTTTCTGATAGTTCGTTTGGTATTTTTAGTTTAGTCCCGAGTGCTGCAGTCAGCACTTGTATAGCGTTGTCTATTTCTACTTCAGTAGGTTGAGCTTTGCTTTGTTTAAATAATTGTTTTTTATTTGTTTTTGGGCTCAGGTAGTCATCTTCTTGGTAGTTTTCGTTTTTCATTTCGTATTTTGAGGTTTGGGATTCTTTTAGTAATTGGTCGGGCATTTTAGAGGTATTAGGTGGGTAAGATGGCTGCCATAAAAAAGGCGGGAAGCTGTTGCCATCTTTGGTGTCGTTTTTGAAGTTAGGGGTTGAGTTTCTTACCTCGTAGTTTTCTTGTTTGTTATTTTCGTTATCTGCTGCTGTTCCGTGGTCTTTTATCATGCTGCGGATTTTCACAAGCAGATTTGATTCAGTTGTAGTTGTTTCTATTAATTGTAGTATTTTTCTTTTTACTTCATCTTCTTTGTTTGGCGTTGAGAAGGGTTCTTCTGCTTCAGCTAGTGGTTGTTCGTTTTGCGTTAGCTGTTCATATTCTTGTGATTGCGTTTGTTTCTTCATGTTTTCAATTGGTGTATATATGTCAGGAGTCAGCTGGGCTGCCATTCTTTTTGTTATGTATCGGGTGGCAGGTCTTCTTTTTTCTTTTTGTGAGTCTTGCATCTTTATGTTTGGTTGGGCCTACCAAACCATCCTCTTGCTACCAATTTGTTGCTAGTTTGGTTATTCTGGTTAGGCCCATATATAAGAGACTGTAGACTTTCTTGTAATAGTAATATTTATTTCTTTTCTTCCTCAGGAACACAATTAGAGAAGCTTTGATCTGGGAGGAGCGAGAACTTATATACAGAGGAGGCGGGGCTAATGGTAAGTAGTAACCAATGGTAAGTGACACAATGACATCACACAATGACATATACACAACACACATATTTACAGATATCAGGTTAGGTATTTTCATCTGTAACATGTCAGTTAAAAACCTGATGGAAAACACTGTCTAATTTTCTTCTATGAATTGTCTGAGATCTGCTGCTGAGTATTAGCAGTTAAAAGATTTCAAGTGATAAATGAAATTGGACACTCATGAATTCTTGAACCAGTACTAGCTTTAGTCAGGATTGGCAATAAGCTTTATCCTTGCAATACACAAAAACAATAGCAACCTATATGGGATAGGTTCTCTTGGCTTAATATACCTCCAGGGTACTAAGTTCAGCCTCTTATCTTCATTGCCTTTTTCTGCAATCAGCATGAACTTGGAACAAGTATCTTCAGATAATACAATACTTAGAGCATACAACATGCTTAGTCTATGAGAAGCTTTTTGCTGCCAACAGCACATAGCTTTCTGATTGGAGGGAGGGAGGGAGAGGGGGGGAGAACAGGTTAACAATTTTCTTCCAACATCTTATTGTTGGAAGACAGCTTTCTTTCACAACCTCACGTATTTTATTTTGTTCTATAATATAGTAGTTCAGTCTTATTAGATACAAAATTGTTCAACAAGTTGCTTTGGAACAGAAAAATGAATTCTGCCCAACCTTTGTTTAAAACACTAAGATCAATTTAAAGGTTGTCAATTTACCTCAAATTGAGTTGATTTGTGAAGTATTTATTTTAACGTTTTATATGTATGCAGTTTAAAGATGGATAAAAACAAACAATATTTTTAAAACAAATCAAACGGGAAACCTGAAAAAGTATTCCAGTTCCTATACTTTATCCAGGAAATAATTGACTTCTGCAAAACAGTTAGTTAAATCCATTTGTCACTTGTGGATTTTGACTAATTGCTATAAAAACCCGATTCTTCCTCCAAGCATTAGATGGTGATGGGTGTTGAGGTTGGAGGCTGGTTTGGCACTTGAGGTTAAGGATCATTTGGTTTTTATATGTTTTCTTGATTATTGTGAGCTGCCTCAAAACATAATATGAGATGCATAGCCATCTATCCTTCCGAGGTCAGTAAAATGTTGGGACCAATATGCTGACTCTATAAACCCCTTAGAGAGGGCTGTAAAGCACTGTGAAGCAGTATATAAGTTTAAGTGCTATTGGTATTTCTGCAAAACCAATAAACAAATAAACAATTTACTGGGTCTCCATAATTCCAATACTGTCATTAATAACTGCATATATGCCACTATTCATTTTAGGAAAAAATAAACATGTAGATGGTATTCTAATTTCAAAGTGTGATAGATAAGTGAGACAACCAAGTTGAAAATGCTAAATAATTCATCATGTTAGAAGCTCCATATTAAGAATTTTGAATAAATAGAAATCCAGGTTGTGTATGAAAACACCTTTGTCGCTTTCAGGAGTATTTAATAGATGAGAAATAATAGACAAACACAAATGGTTGAATTATTATGAGATGCTAAATTCTGTCAAGTAGGTTTTAAAATAAAATCAAGAGAACTCGTGACAAAAGGATATATAAATAAATAAATAAATAAATAAATAAATAAATAAATAAATAAATTTATTTCTATACCGCCCTTCTCCCAAAGGACTCAGGGCGGTGTACAGTCTATTAAAAGCACAAAGACAGACATCAATCAATTAAAAATAATTAAAATTATTAAATAATTTCAGCTAATTGATATATTATTATTATTTATTGAATAAATAACTCCCGAAGGACTCAGGGCGGTAAACAGACAAATAAAATACATATAATACAAATGTTAAAAAACCATTAAAATACAATTAAATAATTGGCCCGGAAAACAAAATTTAAAACACCCCAAATTCATACGAAAAATTTAAAATTTAAAATTTTTTAAAAACAGTTTAAAAGAGAGGTTAGGCCAGGCCAGACTTCCGGCAGTGACCTCAGCTTGTTAGGGATGAAAGGGATGGAGCTCCGTTCCTGGGTTCCTAACATTCCCACATCTGGAGCCGAAACAGGCGCTATTGCTCTCGCAGGGATCAGTAGTTTAAAGGGGAATATCTTAGGACTTCAGAGGAGATCGCAACTTCTCCGAAGGTACAAGATAAATACCTTAATCCAGAGTGAGGAAAAACCAGCCTTCCAGGGCTGGTCGGAGGTGCTGATAACTGTGCAAGTGGGAAGCGAAGATCGAAAATGAAAAGAAGTCATCAACAGGAGACTAAAACTTAGAAAAACCCAAAAATCATCTGATAGTAAGAAGTAGACGCTGGTGGTAGAGAACCCTGGAAAAAGAGATAAGACAAGCGGCGACAGAAGGATTGATCGGAATGGAGCCATTTTGAACGGAACGTGACAGAGCAAAACTTGAACAGCCGGAGTGTATGGAGAGAGTGGAGGAAGGTAGCTGTTAATTACGAATATTATGATTAGACTTGTGGATGATTTAAAACTTTAAAACTTTGATACTATTAGATCCTATGAGTGTGGACTGGATTGAGTGGATAGAATTGGATAAATATAGAACAAGAACAGATCGTGCAATACTGAAGTGAACGAAGAGAGTGTGAGGAGTGTGGTGTGCTGGAGACTGGAGAAAAGGATTTTGGACGGATCTTTATAAATTGATCGCACCGGAGGTTATTGGCATCGATTGGATTTTGGACTGAACCGGACAATCTGAGAACGAAACGGTTTGTGGGAGAGTGTGGAGAGAGGTGGGACAAACTCCGGAATTCCCAATTTGAGTGGATTTTTACAAATTATCATCATTATAATCATTTTCGACACTTCTAGTGATATTTCTTTCGAAGATTAGGATATAAAGCCCAGTCAGCGTCTGCATAGCAGGTTAACTTGGGTTTCTCAGACAGGTCTGGTTCGAGGCACAGCTGGGCGTTGGCACTGTGTTTCAGGTACATGAGCAGTCTTTTTATGGCATCCCAGTGCAGGACAGTGGGCTTGCTCACGTGTCTGGACAGTAGATTGATGGCCAGAACGATGTCAGGCCTCGTCCAGTTGGAGATGTAGAGTAGCGAGCCTATTGTTGACCTGTACAGCTTGTTGTCAACGAAGGGTTCAGCTTCATTGTACATGCTCCTTATGAAGTCTGGTTGCATGGGTGTCTCGTAGGGTTTTGCCCCTGACATGTTGCATTTGGATAACAGTTCCATGATTTTGTCTCTTTGTGAGATCCAGAAGCCCTTGTCAGTTTTAATCACTTGCACCCCTAGGTACTTGTCTATCTTCCCTAGTGACTTCAGAGAGAAATGATTTCCTAACTCGGTGGCAAATTTATCGCATTTGGCCCTTTGCTTCCCTATGTACAATATATCATCCACATACACAAGAACACCTTCGAATGCTTCTCCCTCTCTCTTTGTGAAAAAACATTTGTCTGCAGAGGTGGCTTTGAAGCCCATGGTGTTGAGAGCTTTGGCTAGACAGTCATACCACCTCTTGCCAGACTGTTTGAGTCCATATAAACTTTTGTTCAGGAGCCATGTGTTGTCCTTTCCATCGTTGTATCCTGGTGGGGCCTTAACATAGATCTCCTTATCCAATTCTGCATGTAGATATGTGATTTGCACGTCGAATTGGAATACTTCCAGCCCTAGGATGGTGGCAATTACTAGAGTGCTCTTGACACTCTCAGCCCTGATTGTGGGGGAGTAGGTGTCTGTGTAGTCTTCCGGGTACCTTTGGGCGAAGCCTTGTGCGACCAACCTCGCTTTGTAGAGCGTTTTGTTGTCTTCGAGTGTTTTGACTTTGAACACCCACTTGGTCCCAATTGGCTTTTTGTTCTCAGGTGCTTGAGCTGGCGAGTATACTTGTAGTTCTCGGAGGCTCTCCATCTCCTTTTCCATGGCTTGCTTCCACCTTTCCCTCTCTTCCTGGGGGAGGCCGAGTATCTCTTCGTAGGAACTGGGTGTGAAATGCTCTGTGTGTATGGACATGACGTAGTCCTCTAGTCTCTTTGGTAACTTGCTCCTACTGGATCTAGTTGGTCTGTCTGGAGGCATATCTGCTTCACGCAGGCATTCGGCTTCTTTTTGGGTGAGGCTATCTAGGTTCAGTGTGGGGTGTCCTTCTTTCCATTCCTTGGCTTTCAGTTCTTGGTGTTTGGGTCTGTCTGTTTCAATTTCCTCTGGCCCCCTGGTGGTCAGTTCTTTGTCGCTTTGGTTATGTGGTTGCATGTCTCTGCCAAGGAAAATGTCATTGCAGTGGAACTTTGACCAATTCGAGTGCTCATGGAATTCCGCAGACCTGGACACAATGAATTTGTTATTGCAGTCTACAAATCTGAATCCCTTTGTTCCAGGCTCATAGCCCACGAACCTTAGTCTTTTTGACACCTTTTCTCCCTTCTTCCTTAGCTGTCGGGGAATATGGACGTCAGCTGGGGCACCAAATACGTGTAGGTGGGCTAGGTTAGGTTTTCTATTGTACATTAGTTCGTATAGGGTTTTATTGATTGAGCTTGACCACAACCTGTTTAGTGTGTAATTTGAATAGTGTAGTGCCTCTGACCAGAATGATTGGCTCATTCCAGCGTCCTCCAAAACACACCTCATCATTGTTTGGAGCAATCCATTTTTTCGTTCTATGACCCCATTCTGGAATGGGGAAAAAGAGGTGGAACTAAAATGCAATATGCCCCTCTCCCTTAACCATTTTGCAAAGTCCTTGGCCATGAATTCTGTGCCCCGGTCAGTCATTATCTGTTTGATTTTCACCCCATGTTGTAGTTCCACCCTTTTATAAAAGTCTTTGAACCTTTGGAATGTCTCATTTTTATGCTTGAGAGAGTACACATAGCCATACCTGCTGTAGTCGTCTACTATGGTTAAGAAAAACCTTTTCCTGTGTCCAATGGAAGGTCTCAGTGGTCCCACTAAATCCATGTGTACTAGCTGAAATAGGTGGTCAAATTGTGCACTCTGACCTTTTGGGCCTCGCTTTGACCTTAATTTTTGAAGATTTACACACTGAACACTCCAAATAATTTTTGCAGTCCTTT